TCTGGGTTGGTATCCTGCTTTCTGTTTTGAGATTTCGCTAAAACACTCTTTTGTTCTGTTATTCTGTCTATTTTCTTCTATGTCCCTTAGTATTGATAGCTGGAATTCCCTCTTTTTCGTTTCACCATTCTGCGAGCTGCTATTCTTTGATGTCTATATTCTTCTATATTAGGTACTGTTGGTTGTAGTTGTCAGTAAACTTTTTCAACTGGTCGGTTATTTATGGTTATAATATATTGATTCTGATGATTGGTTAGGTACTTAGTTTTGTTAATATTGATTTTTAGGCTTATTTGCTCTGATTTCTTGTTTAGTTCTTCAATCATACTCTGTAGTTCATCTTGGTCCCGTTCTATCAATGTGATGGCATCCGCAAATTTAAGGTGACTTAGCCTTTCGCCGTTTATGAGGATACTTTTTTCTGCCAGTTTAGCTATGTATGGCTGTTGCGATGTAGCGTTTCCATATATATATATTTGTATATCAATAATCGATTCTCGCATTGCTTAGAGCATTCAATACTGCCTATCTCTATTGAGTCGAGTGCCTTTTCATAGTCTATCAGTAGTACTCGAAGTGTTATGTTGTACTCATTTACCTTTTCCATTAATGTTATTGTTACATGTAGGTGGTCTATAGTGCTAAAAGCCTCGTTTGAAACCCGTTTGCCCTCTCGGTGGGTCTATTTTATTGGTGAGCCTTTGTGTAATAATCCTCGTAAACACTGATAACAAGCTTATTGGTCTATAATTTTCGAGTTTGTATTTATTACCCGTCTTGATTCAAGCAATAATTAAACAATCTTTCAATGTGGGTTATTATAGATTTGGATCAGTCCATCAGTTTATACAAACCAGGGCCGGCACTCACGATACAACGGCGTCGGGCCGCTTTTGTTGGATGCAATCGATGAATGTGAAATAAATATGGGGTCCACTTAAGTCCACGAATGTTTGGTAAACAAGGTACTTACGGAGGTTTACGACTATTAACACGATTGTGGGATAATTACTGGAAATAAAATTATGATATATACTTTGTTTAAATTGAAAAGTACTTAAGGGTGTTTATTCGGTTTCATTTTTCTTAATCCTTAGAGGTTTCTTTTAGCGGTCGGAAGCAAGCTGTCAAAAGCATGCGTGGCGGAAGTTATTACTTTGCACACAGGATTAAAAAAGATAATTGACTAATGAGAGAAAAGGTATATTGTCATGTCATTGAAAGGGGTAAACGTGATGCTTTTACTATGGAAAACAATGGTGAAACTACGTACTTTCCACCCGGGGATCAAGAAA